AACTTGTGTACAGGTTCTCTGGTGGGCTTGAACACTCAGTTACCGGTTGAAGAAGCGCGGATTAGTCCGATCCATTCCACCTGGGACCCATTGTGTAGTAACTGTATCATCAATTATTATTATTATTATTATTATTATTTCTTTAGTAAGAACTAAAAATGCATTAATAATTAAAAAATTCAATAAAAATTGTTTAAAAAATTGTCAAACCCAACAATGTTTTTTTTGAAGATAATTACTTGACAGTGTATTAGAGAAAAAAAATTATAATATTAATTATTATTATTTATAATATTTTTTACTTTTTGATGAATATGTTTTGCTGATATCATGTCAAAGTAATTCTTTCTTCTTTTTTTTAAATAGATTGTATATATCTATTCTATTTTTAATAAGGTGAGAAATTAAATAAAAGTTAAAGAAATTATACATCAACCATATCTCATGTTGGTCAAATCGTTTGGCAAATTTCAACTTCGTGGAAAGAGAGAGAGAGAGAGAGAGAGAGAGAGTTGAACAAAAAGTACATGTACGAAAGTCACGAGTATGATTTTTGATCAAAGTAATTGACTAAGGACTTGTTTGGCAATCGCATTTTTTAATTAAAAAATTAAAAAATTAAAAAATTATTAAATTAGTTAAAAAAACTAATAATTCATATAAAAAAGTTAAAGTTTTTTTTTTTTTTCTACTTTTTGCATATCTTTTCGTAAAAAGTTAAAAAGTCATTCCAAACATACTAGTTTTTTTTAGCTCATATTTTAGTCAAATAGCCAAAAAGTTACTAAATTAGCCTGTTCCCAAACGAGGCCTATGTGATTGTTTGGTATGTTATTTTTGCATATTATTTTATTTAAGTCATAATTATTTTATTTAAATCACATTACTTTTTTATCATATCATTTCAAATTCAACACATATTTTACGTTTTTTTTAGTAAAAAATCAAAAAATATACGAATCTATTACTTTCCAAACAATTCCTAAATTTGTTTTAGAAAATTAGTTAAAAATTAAAATTAAAATTTTTGATTTTTTTATATTTTTAAAAAAAATATAAAAAAACAAAAAAAAAAATATAATCTAAAATAAATTAAAAATTAATTTTTAATCATATTTTCAAAACATCCCTAACTCAAACGTATTTTTTCTCATACACATGTCATGTTAGGCGTCAAAGTGGACTTCCAAAGCCCATCTCATGTTTTTGGTTTGTTTCATTTGGTTCAATCATCATCAACCTCAAATGAATAAATAAATAAAATAAAACACGTGTTTTTAATTTGCTACCATATATCTCACCACCGCACCAACATAGCAAAGCAAAGCAATCAATTGCCTATCGCACGGAAGACGAGTCAAATATTGGTGGGTGCTTTTCGTAGAAATATGATTATTGTACGTTAACCCATGTTTTAAATCTGATTTTAAAAAAATACTAACATACACAGTTAAAAATGATATATTATATACATTTTCAATTATACTATTATTTTAATTATGATATTATTTTAATTATAATTCATAAATTTTTTAATTTGGCTCTTATATTTGTATTTGGTTATAATTTTTTTTTTAATTATGGCTCAAAAAATATAAATTTACGACATTTTCTTCTTTAATTATAAGATCCATATAGTACACACTCTTAGTGTTTTTCATGATTTTATCTTAAAAAATATAACATTTTTTCATTAATTTTTTTAACAACAGTGCTACCTTTACTTAAAACTTTCCTCTCAAACCCACCAAATGATGTGCCAAGATTGGCATAAAGGTTTTGAGAGAAGACATAAATATAAAAGCGTGGGTCAATAATATATATATATTTTTTAACTCATCATTCTGTGGATTTGTGAAGAAAAAATTATGTAGATGAAATAGTTTTTATTTTTGTGCTTTTGATAAACAAAAAAAAAAAAATTGCAATAAACACGGAAATGAACTTGCATACAAGAAACTTGCATTATCATGAACACTACTCTACTGAAATGCCATTTCCAACTTTAAAGACACCAAAATAGGCACAACTCTTTTCTGGGAGTGTATGATTTACATATTAAATGGGTCGTACTTCATGTAAGAGGTTTTTGCCCACTAGTGCTTTGTTTGGTTTAGTTTTCAGAATTTGTTTCTTAAAAAATTTAAAAAATTTGTTTGGTGAGAAAAAATGAAAAAAAAAAAAAAAATCATTATTTTTATATCATTTTATCTTTTTTGGGACAAAAATAAATTTAGAACTTTGAAAAAAAAATTATGTGTTTGATTTTGTTAAATTAACTCGTAATGTTTTGAAATTTTTTCAAAAAGAGATTCGGAAAACTCAATCAAATAGAGTCTAATTTTTTGTTATTTTATTTTGTTTGTTATTTGTCTTAGAAGTTAAATGTTAATACGTAGAACTTACTATATTCAATATATATATATACATATCATAACAACATAAAAACTGAGGTTCAATAAAATATGCTGACAATATATTTCAACCTCAAAGTTGAAAAGATGTTTTGGAATTTGCAATATGATCTAGATATGAACAGTTAAATTAGTCTTATTATGGTTCACACGAGTAATTATTCAGTAATTTTAAAATATAAACACGTGATATTTCATAGTATTGTAATTGGTAGAGAAGGTATGTAAGTAAAATATTGTGTTGTGTAATTAGAGAATATGAAGAGACATATTGAATAATAATTAGTTAAAGAGTACAGACACATAGTGTTCCAAAAATATTCTATAATTTCCTGATTCACACTACGACTAGGTTAGGAGCCAAGTTAGGATTTCATCCTTGAGGAGTTTAGCATTTTGTAAAATAATTCTATAACTATGTAGACCATATATTTATATTTTTTTAGATCCTAATTTATAATTTATTAAAATATTCCAAACAAAGTAGTAAATATAATCAAATATATAGTAGATGGCAAGACAAAAGCAAACAATTTGTCATCTATAGAATTTTTTTCCCCCGACAGAATATAATAAGGCTTATAAGGAAAACGTGACAAAATATAAAAAAACCAAACTTCTTGAGGAGGATAGCTGTTGCTTATTTTTCCACCAAGAAAAATATCATAAAAGTAAGTGTGTTAGTAAAGATTGAAAAAATTTTACAGATTAAATTTAAGTTAATTATCAAATGATTACGTTGATGGTTCTTTTGCCTTAATGAAGAGGACTTTAAAATTACCAAATGTAGATAAAAGAAAAATTAAAAGAAGAATGAGGAAGACGGAGTAAGATGATTGAGTGAATAATTGGAGTGATTGAGTGAACAATCAAACTAACCATTAATTTATTTCTCTACTCATATGCTTTGAAAAGAAAGTGCATAAAATAAAGTGTAGAAAATTTACCTCTATTGCTATGCTTTGAAAATGAAGTGCATAAAATAAAATACAGAAAATTAAGTACAAGAAATATAAATGATAAGAAAAATAGAAATCAATTGTTTTTTTATTTGAATTATGGATCTATTACAATGTAGCCATGAATGACTATTTATAGACAAGCATTTGTAGAAAAAGCTACCAAATAACTACCATATCCTTCTATCTCCCACACTTCACAATCTATAATCTTCCACTTCATCTCTATGTCTCCATAACTTTCTTTAACTTCCAATTCATGCTCTATATTTTTCACTTTATCTTCCATCATCTTTTTACAGGTGTTTAATGATTCATAACTTCTTATAATCTCTAAATGAGTAGGAGAGAGTCACATATCCTGCAATCATATAGATAATAATTAATAATAAAATTATTTATTTATGGTGCCAACAATAACTAATTCCAAAACCTCCATTTCATAATTTAATTTCTCTGGCTGTGTTGGTCCATTTGAAAACAGAGAAATGACTGCATTTTCAAGGGCTCACAGGTAGATTTTGAGAGTTTGTGTGAATCTATCAAGCTGAGGATTGCATTATGTGCCAAATCTTCATGCCCCTCTTTGAGTTACTCAATTAATGATATTATCTATAACCTGTAACAAGTCAAATTCTGCATCAAGGGAGTTGGTTGAGCAGCACAGGTGGGTTCTTTAAATTCTGCACCAAGGGAGTTGCCAATTGGTTGTGTCTGCTGCTGGGTTGACTCTCTTTTGGGTCGGCAACTTGGTGTTTTGTCTGTTTTATGCTTAAGGCTTTGGTTGTTTGTTCTTTTTTTAAAGTGGGGTCGGTTGTGTTTGTTGTTGGTTCCTCACCAAATGATTGGATATTTTTTGCCGTATCAACTTAGTTATTGGATATTTTTTGCCGTATCAACTTAGTTAGAATTGTAATGTCTTTACTTCAATGTTCTTTATATTTCTCTTTCTTTATTGACGTAATTAATCTTATATAAAATGTATATTTTTTTCATCAATAAAATTTATTTTTACTAATAAAAAAAAAGTTAAAATTCACAAACTATGCTATTAATCGTTGAAATATTATGTGACGTTTATGTAATAACATCTAATACTTTTTACTATATTGTCCTTGCTTAAAAAACTTTTGGCATATATTACACATGACTCGTTACTCGATAATATAATTGTGAAATAAACTAAATTATTTAAATTCGATTTGTGTGACTCATTAAAAATTCGTTCAAAATAAGTTTAATATGTAAACAAGACAAAATCAAACATATGTTGAAATTCATTAATTTTTTGAATTTGTTACAATAAGTTTATTTTCATTCTAGACTATATAAAAATAAAAAATACTTGAGTCTAATTTGACCAAAGCTTTTTTGAAATTAGCTTCCAAAGTCAAATAAACTAATCTTAAACACATTTTCAAATTCATTAAAACCTTTTAACCAAATTTAAACAATCAAATACTCAGTTCAAATTGATTCAGTTAGAGACTTACTGAGTCATATCTATATCATTTCAGTTGTTCCAATGCTTGTAATTTTTACCCAAAACTTTATCTATAAATATCAATGTATGGTCCAAATTAATTCAATACATGAATCCCACAATACATCAATTCAATCTCCATTGTTGACATTGTTCAAAGTATCTAACTTTTACCTTAGTCCATGCAATGAATCGTAAAGATCAGATTACAAGCATTGAAACTATTCATATATTGTTGAATTCAAAGGATAGACCAACCAAACAAAGTTTGATTTTGCTAGAAGCAGAGGAAAACTAATCCAATTTGCACCAGTTTAATTTGCCAATTACATTGAAATTTTAAAAGACAAAATTAGATTCATATTATTATTATTAATGTTGGGATTTTAGTGATTCAACTTGAGATTTGCCACAAGGACCCCTTGTCCTAATGAACAATCTGTACTCATTAAATGTCATTGCCGGATACAGCGCCGGCCGGTCTTCGGAGACGAGTTTTTCGGCCGGTTTGATCGGAATTTTCCCATTGGGATTGTAGAAGAAGGCAAGTGATACTCTCTCTTTGGCTGAATTCACAATCACCCTATGCTCCACACTCTTGTAATTTGCATTGCTTAGAACCTAAAATTAACCATTCAATAATTTTAGTTAGTTACATCAACATGATGAAGCAAGCAAAATGGAAAATTATATATGCACATGATTATCTAGAAAGTAATAGGACCCATTATTATATTTTTAATGCTATAGATTTTACATGTACTCATAGAAAATAAAGAGGTATTAAAAAAAAATGAAACTCATCATAGCAACCCTTCATAACAAAATGTAACTGTGCTCTGTTCTTTTATATATATATATATGTATCTTTTTTTTCTTAAATTGTGTCAAAAATAATTTTAGAAAGTTAAAAAAATTACAATTTTTCATGTGGGTGAGACTCACATATTTGAAATGGTCCACACATTTTTTTTTTTTTTTGATCGGCAAATGGTCCACATATATGAGAGGATGGAGTTAAATTATGTGCACTTAGATTTTTAAAAGATTTGGATATTATTTGTTTGGGGAGTAATTATTTTAACTAAAAAATCAAAAAGTTAATATAAGTTATCACATCACTCTCTTTATTTTTCTGTACAACTTTTCGTAAAAAGTTAAAAAATTATTAAAATAGTTTATTTCCAAATAAGGCAGAGAATTTTTTTTTAATTGTTCATTAATTATTAGCTTTCAACTTGGAAGAAATTGTACAGTTTGCACCACAACTTTAAGGGGTTAGAATGGTTTTCAGCTTCCAAATTTAGGTTCCTTGTTCTCGTCTTCTTGCAACAAAATTGAAACAAGACACTAACGAAGTGAGAGAGGACCTGAATTTGATCGCCAATATTGACAATGAAAGCATTAGGGGCAGGCTTGACTGTGACCCAGCCATGGCCACGGCGGACTTGGAGGCCAGAGACATTTTCATCGGGGAGGAGAAGGGTCATGCCGCCGGGGTCAGAGTGTGGGGAGAGACCCAGAGCCAGGTCTGGTTGTGGACATTTTGGATAGAAATTCACCCTCAAACAAGCACCAATGTCCTCTCCTCCAAAGGCTTTTTGAAGACAATCTTCTTCCAATCCAAGGTTTATTGAAAACACTTTCATCAATATTCCACATAGCCTCACCAATTCTTCCCCATATTGTGCAACCAATTCCCTACAAAATTTAATTACCAAATTAGGACCAGGTCAATTTTCCCATATGCTGTATGAAAATCACATGCATTGTTCAATCAAAATTTTTGTTCTCTATAGTTTTTAGTTTAAACCAAAAAAAATAAAAATAAAAATAAATGAAGTGTCAAAGAGATGACTAGTGAGCTCCTACCCGCTAAGAACAAGACAAAAAGTCTACATGAGCCAACAAAAAATAGAGATTCACAAATACTTTCCCAAGAGAGAGGTTCATAGCCTGACCCAGTCTTATTAAATCCTATTAAGGGTATAATGAATAACTGATGACTGAAGATTAATTATTGCAACTTACAAGTGAGACTTGAACTCAACATTTGTCTGCTAGAGAAAAATGTATTTTCTTTTTCACTTATTAAAAAATGATAAATGTTATTATGTATAGAAAATTTATCTATGAAAATAGAAAATAATTAAGATTTTAAATGTTAATATTAATAAAGTTTATTACTCATTTGTTTTTGTTTTTTTTAACTTACACTAAATTATAATTTCTCTTATTTTCTTTTTCATATATATGAAAAATTACTTGTTTTATGAGTACATGCATGAACCCCGAGAAGGGTATTATCAAAGAAGCCAACCGTTTGATATGATAATCAAATAATTGATCTGTCTTGCATCATGATTTGATATTGGGTCAAGGGCACATGTTAAGAATGTATTTAATTATCTTAGCTACCTCCACTTGTATGGGAGAATGTAAAACATAAACAAAAATAAATATGATAATTTTCAAAAGCTTAGATATTTTTGTATACGGATGAAAATGTCCTCACATTTGAAATAACGAAATTAACTTATTTATAAAATATATATATATATATATATATTTAAAATTATTTTGTTCTTTTACAAAGTGGTGTTTTGGAAAATTAGTAAAAAGTTGACTTTTTGACTTTTTAGCTTTTTTGGTGGCTTTTTTGGCATAAAGCTGGGTTGTTTTGAGTAAAAAAACTAATTTTTTTGGCTAAAAAAAACTAAAAAGCCAAAAAGTTGGATTTTTTCCATTGTTCCCAAAAGATAACATGATACTAACCTCTTCAATAAAAAAAAAACAAAAAACATTAATATTTCATTATAAATAAAAAAATAAATTTATAAATCACATAAAATAATATTACTTTCTTTATTTGGAAGCTCATTTAACTTGAAACAATTCTTTGAAATAGATTGTTGAATTTCACTTACAATTAGATTTCAATCTATTAATTTTATAATTTTAGAACCAAAAAAAAAAAAAAATCCATTGATGCACAACAACAACAACAACAACAATAACAACAACAACAAAAAATGCATTTCAATTTATTTCAAAAAATAATAAACCAAATAAATAAAAATACTTTATTTAAAATTCTATAACCACTGTATGTGTTGCAAATTAAAATATATATAACTATGATAAAATAAAATAATCGAAGCCAAATTAATAAATAAAATTGAGTATAAGGAGAGTATTTTGGTCTCTATGTTTAAAAAAAAAAAAATCATTAATTGTAACAGTCTTAAAAGTTTTTCCTACTCCCTATACAAATTGAAAATTCCTTAACATATAACAAAAGCCTTTGACATTTTACCAACGGTTTGGAATACCATATGAACGGTTTGATATGATAATCTCAGTTTGATTGACTAAATTCTTTGAACCTTTTCGTACAAGTAAAGATTCAATGAAAGGAAATTAATTACTAAAGCACATGCAATGATAAAATATTGTGCAATGATATTAAAAAAAAAATTTAATTATTGAAAAGTAAAGAAAGAAATATTTTTAATTGAAAAATACTACAGACTCTAAAAGTTTTACTAAATTTTTTATCAAAGTTCTCACATAGATATGAGACCCACAACTTTATCGGTCACATGTAGATCTTACATCGTGAGATATTTGGTAGAAAATTTGATAAAACTTTTGAAGTCTTTAACATTACTTTTTTTAATTTTTATCTTTTTAATTATCATTTTTGAGCTTACAAAAATTGTCACCAAACAAGTCTTATGTTGTTCGGAGGAAGGGAAACATCTTTCTAACAAATGGATAAGAAAATGGATATTATATACCCTTGCTTTGTGGAAAGTAAATTAACTTTTAAGGAATAAAAAGATAATTTTATATTAAAAAATGGGACTTCCTCCTCTCTACCCCCAAAAAAAAAAGCCAAAAAAAAGGAGATGATTCTTTCACAAAAATGATGGTGTTACATAAATTTAATCATAGAAAAAATTACTTTTTTTTAACCCAACAAAATCATATTGTAAGTGTTGATCTCTCTTTAACACGGACGGGAGAATAATGCAATATAAATAGAGTGACATGGTTGATTTATTATTTTTCATTTTAGAACAAAAGATTTTTTAATTACAAATATGCTATTATCAAAGTTCTTGTATAATAATTCAAAGCAGTATAACTTTCGAAATGGATAATATTATACAAAGAAAATTTATATATATATATATATTTTTTTACAAAATGATATGACATTAAAGAAAATTTATATATATATATATATTTTTTTACAAAATGATATGACATTATGTGATATTTTTATTCTGAGACAAAACAATTACGAGTGTGATTCAAAATTATAAAAATATTATTATCATATCATTTTGTGAAAATTTTATGTATATAAATTTTATTTTCTTTTTGAATTGTAGGAGATGCTCTCTCTGACATAAATTCCCTCTCTATTCTATAATCAGTCTCTCTAATTCTTGTTGAGTATAGACACATAATTTTTTACACTATTTTATACTGCCTATTTGTAATACGAGTGGGTGGCCTATTCCCATTATAAACATGAAGTGTAAAATTATAGTGCGTTTGTAATCTTAATCAATATGATTTTCAGAAAACCTAGATTAATTGATATGAAAAGTTTCAAGGGAAAGAATCTGATGACATAATTTTTTTATATAAGGTGAAATTTATTAAAAGTTTGTTTGAAAAATAATTTTTTAATTAAAATATAAAGTGAAAAAAATGAAAATATTTCATAATAAATAAATAAATAAACTTTCAAAAATAAAGAGAATGAGAATAACTCTTTTATTTTTTTTATTTTTTGATTGAAAAATGATATACAAGTCTTTTTAGATCTAATGGTGGATAAATGAGAGGATTGACAAATGATTGAAAAGATACAAGGAAGAGATTTGCCAAAATAATACTCTTTTTAATTTTTGAATTTTTTAAATAATAAAAATTATTCAGTGGGTTTGGTTTGAATTTTTTGGATTAAATTTTTTAAAAAATGAGTTTTTTATTTTCGTTTTTTTATTTTGTTTTTAGTGAATATTTTTAAAATTTTAAACAATTTTTTTTCTACTTTTTTATATGTACCTTACTTAGATGTATCTAAAAAGTAAAAAATTTGTGAAAAAATATTTTAAAAAATTAATAAATATATAAAAATGTAAAAAATGTATTGAATTCACGTATTTTTTTTGTATTTTTGGTATTTAGTGAATTTTTAAATGATTTTTTTCATAAATTTTTTATTTTTTAGGTATATTTATGTTAGGTATGTCTAAAAATTTTTTAAAAATTGCTTTAAGTATTAAAAAATTCAGTAAAAATAAAAAAACACAGAAAACAAAAAAAGTAAAATATTTTGAAAAATATTTTTAGAAAACTGTAACCAAACAAAGTGATTATTTTTTAAAGAGAAAAGTTAGGGATCATGAAAATTTTTTCATGAAAATGATCATGAAAGAATTATGATCCTTGGATTACCTTGATTAGTGTGTGATGCTTTATTCTAAGTGTAATCCAAAGGTCACAAAGCTTTCATAATTATTTTTATGAAAAAATTTTCATGATACCTAGCATGACTGTTTTTTAAACTAATTTAACCACTTTCTAAACCAAACATAAAATCACATGTGAGTAATCAATTATGGAGTATTTTGAGAAGATGGTTAAAAATTTATTTTTTAATTTTTTTAAAATAAATATATAAAAAATATAAAAAATAATTTGATTTAAAATTGATCAAAAAAATTAAGAAATGAGTTTTAATCCACCCATTAAAAAAAAGGTGTATGTGACTAGTGGGTCCGAGGATCTAGTTTCCTTGCAAGACTCAAATAGTGTTAACACTTATTCTACGAGGCGGCGCAGTGGATTTACCTGCACGACGGAGGAAACATCGGCCACTTCTTCTGGTCCCTCAGCGACTTGGGAAGAAAATGAAGAAAAAAATAGTCACTCCAATCCAGCTTCATCCCTTTCTCGACTCCGAGCCGGCTTCCGTACCCCTCGTAAGTCGCCGGAGAGTTCGCATATGCTATCTTCTCCTCCACGGGCAAGTGAAAGAACTCGCGCCACACCTCCCGAGTCCGGCTCATCAACTCGTGGCTCACGCCGTGGTTCACCACCTGAAAGAATCCCCACTCGCGGCACGCGCTTGAAATTAGGCTTAAAGTTTCATCGCGGAGAGAGTCATCGCCGGAGAAGATGTTGGAGAGGTCAATGACCGGGATGTTGACCTCGGTCTCTGGTGGCGATTCTACAGGAGATGGCGGTTCGGAGAGCCGTTTAATGTAGCGGTCGGGGATTACGGTCATGCCGCTGTCGGAGAGAGATTGGACTCGGACGATTGGCTCCGGCCATGATTGTAAGCAACTCATTGTTTCTAGAGGTGGTGGTAGTGTTGGAAAAATTAAACAGTACTTACTGTCAGAAGAAAATACTAAACTAAAAATATTATTAGAGAGAAAATTTAGAAAAACCTGTTGAGTGGTGGAGATGAGTCTATAAGTGTAATGGTATAGTTTAAAAGTGAAGTGGGCATGAAACTGAATGTGATATGCATGGGATGTGAAAGTAAGTATATATATATATATATAGAGAGAGAGAGAGAGAGAGAGAGAGAGAGAGAGTTATGGTGGGTGGTAGTGAGAGGTGCATGAAGAGTGAGGGAGATATATATAGACACTTGTAGATTCAAAGATGAACTAAATTCTGCGCCGTGATAATCTTGATTGCTCTCACCCTATTGTCTATGGTGGACCACTAGTGCTTCCTCAGAAATATGATTTACTCTACATTGAATTAAGTCAAACCCATTTTTTGCATTCACAGATTTTGATTATACAATCGCACATTTCGAAGGGACTGAGTTAAGGAATATGAAATAATAAATAAAAATTTATCACTATTTTAAATTTGAAAAGAATAATTATAAATTTTTAAATAATGTAATGAAGAGATTTCGTTACAATTTTGAAATGGAAATGATTACAATCTTGATTAAAAATTGTAAAACCTAAAAGTGTTTAAGATTATTTTAATGAAAAAAAAAATGAGATATAAACAAAATTTATATGCATAGCAATGTGCCTACATAGAAGATTATTTTAAAACAATGTAATTGATATTTAATTATTAAAATATCACTTTCACATTATATTAGTAAAAAATTTGTAACATTTTTTTTTTTATAAATTAAATACAAACACAACTTTTACTATATAATTTACACTTATATCATGTATGTATTGTATATATGTGGTATAATCTACAAGACACCTAAGATGATCATGACATATTTTGTCACCTTGAAAAAGAGATTTACGTTTCCTCAAAAAAATAAAAATAAAAGAACTTTTTTGAGTTACACAATTGACCATTCGTACCTTTGCTTTTGAAGAATGTATTTTGAGAATTATCTCATATGCCTCCACTTTTTTGTTGGTGCAGAATTTTAATAAAGGAAGAACAAGATGGAAGGAATGTTTCACATTACAATAGATTTGTTTGGTGGAGCTTATATCAGATTATTTGTAATTTTTCTTTTTTTCTTTTTCAAAAGTTATGTCAGAATATTTGATACAAAATTTGCTTATAACTTGTTGAACCATTTTAATATCTTACATTTATTTATTGATTTATCTTTTTCATAAATGAGATTTCATTACTTTGGTAACCTCTTGGTTATAAATGGAGGTTAAATAGAATTCATGAACTTGGTTAATGGTCATTATTTTGGTGTAACCATTTTCTCTTATTTAATGGTCATTATTTTTTGGTGTAACTGATAGGTCCTAATGGCCTATAAATAGTCCCTCTCATCTACTCTTTTCTACACCACTAACACACACCAACTATTTTTTATACAAGAGAGATTACTAGCAAAGAAATGTGTTTTTATTGGTAGAGCTTTGGGTTCACCATCTTGTATAGAGTTGGCCTGAACCATACGACAAGTAAGTGAGCTTTGGGTTCACCATCTTGTATCCTGAAGGGGACAAGTCATAATTTTGTGACTGCTGCATCGGTATTGGAGTTCTTCCTGGGCTTGATCTCCTTAAAGAAAACGAGATATCTGTGCCTCAGCCTGATCTATTTGTGTCTCATTTTCTTTGCATCATTTATCAATAAAATATAATTTTTTCTGGTATTTTCACCAACATAACTTATGAAATAAAAATAACTTAAATAAGTTGAACAAAATTTATTATTGAGAATAAGTGAAAACAACGTGGTTAGCTTATAGTTTTAGTTCACATGAAATTACACCAAATAGGCCTATACATGCTCACTTTCTTAACGCAATATTCGCCTCCAATAGATAGGGTCATTGAGTTATCTCCACGATAATCTCATATTCAATCTGTTGTCTAACGGTTATATGCACACCCAAATTCAGATTTGTATATCCTCATAGATTTTAGTTTCTCAAGAATTTAGAAGTTTATTTCTACTAAGAACTCTAATGTAAGAAATATGATGGGTGTAAATAGAACTCTATTGTACTTTATAATTCAATATTTATATACATAACTAGATATACGTGCATATCTAAGATAACTAGAAATTTAGATAGGGAGCTAATTCAAAATAAGGTATGTAGTCATTTTTTTAGGTAGGGAGCTAATTCAAAATAAGGTATGTAGTCATTGCTCCTTGGGCAATGGAGTACTATAATTAAAATTACCGTTTGACTATTTTTAATACGTGTTTCATATTCATTTTAAGTGTAGTGGAGATTATATTTAAAATAAATCTAAATAATGTATAGTTTTTTTTTGGGGGGGTACATTTTTTAATTTTCTTTCAACATTTAAACATTACTACCAAGGTATAGAGTCATTGTTCCTTCAGAAATGGGGTACTATAATTAAAATTACATATTAACCATTTTTAAATATAGAGGAGAGTACATTTAAAATAAATCGAAATCATATATAATTATCAGAGATCACATGGACATTGGATCACTGGTTTTATCGTTGCATTGGTACTGCCACAGCCAACGTGGCTGAGTTGTGGTCCCTTCGTGATGGGCTAAACCTTGTTACGAATTTAGTGCTCCTACAAAACCTAACTCAACACATGCTAAGTAGTATATATAATCTTTGATTGCATGTACTGGGTGATGCACTGCTATAGAGAGGCTAATCAATATGCAGATCTTATGGCAAATTTGGCAACACATTGGAGATAGGTGTTCGTATTTTAAATACTCTCTTTATGCAATCAATTGGCTACGTGTACTTGGACTCATTTAAAGGGGTCTTGGCCCTCCAAAAAAAAATAATTGTCCCACTTTTCTATATTTCTAAAAATTTGAGAAATCTTATGTAATGACCCCTTTATATCAATCTAATTCCACTCAAAATTGTAAAAAATTCACTCTACATAAGAATTGCCCTCCCAAATGTAATAATAATTGCAAAAGTTTAATAGGAACCTTGTTAAAATCCATTAGTAACCACATAGAGAGACAAATGTTTGGTAGCCTAAATATCATGTTCCACTGTCAAGTGGATATTAAGGCAGTGGCTGTCAGATTCTTTAGTAGCATAAATAACACAATGGTGATACATACCCACTAAAAAGAGAGCACTAAACCAGCTTTAATGAGCTGGCAATGCAGGAGGAAAAAAAAAAAAAAAAAAAACCGAAGAGCTAAACATCAAATCAATTGAAGTTACAGTGTATTTAGAGCTATTAGAGATCATTGTTTTAGAGCTCTTAAACAATTTTCGTAAATAACATATCATTTTTTAATGAATTTTGTTAATATATGAATTTAAGGTACATAATACATATATATATATATATATATATTTATTATATGTACAATTAAAAATATATATATATTATTTTTATATATTTATTTATTTACTTTAATATCAAATATCATTCACAAATTAATTTTTTTCTACAAATACAAATAATATAAAGCAAACGGTCACATTAGTGTAGATGAAATCAGCTTATGCTATAATTGCTTGAAATAGTTTTTGTAATTATTTGAAACAATTTTTAACCCTATTTAACTGTTTTAATTCGTAATTATCAATATAATTGTTTCATTCACGCACACTTAGTGTGTGCCAATGGTTCTAGTATATATATGTATATTTAATTAGCAATTGATATGTGCAATAAGCAAGAAAAAAAGAAATATTTTTATTAATAATTTTTTTATAAATATTAATTGAATTGTCATAGAGGTCTATAAAAAATAAAAATTAATACTAGATATTTGATATGATGTATACTATCTACTATATATGTATATATATATAATTTTAAAATTATAGTTTAAGCTACACATTTATAAAATTATTTTTTCAATGTAGTCCATAGTGCTAAAAAATATTAAACAAAAAGGATCACTATTTCAATCTGTAATTATCAATCTAATTGTTTCATTCGTGCACACATAGTGTGTGTCAATGCTTCTAGTATACACATTTATAATTAGCAATTAATATGTGCAATAAGAAAGAAAAAAGAAATATTTTTACTAATAATTTTTTATAAATATTAATTGAATTATCATAGAGATCTATAAAAAATAAAAATTAATGGGAGTACTAGATATTTGATATCATGTATATATATAAATTTTTAGCATGTAATTTAAGGTACACGTTTATAAAATTATTTTTTTCAATACGGTCCACAGTGTTAAAAAAAAAATATTAAACAAAAAAGGATCGTTAAAGGATTAAAATATTGTTTGGCCGACAGCACCGCAACCAAACAAAACAGACTGCCTTTTAAAGATTTTTCAGCACGTTGCAAACATTTTATTGTCTTGTCTCAATATTGATTTTACGCACGTGCCATTTTGGTGGTGAGATGACATCTTCAGCCTGTTGTGCCCTTCGAGAAAGATACTTTTATTATTTTTTTATTTAGAGATTGTTTGGGATATCTTAAATAAGTGCACTTTTTATCTTTTTAGACTAAAAAGTTGAGAGAAAAAATATGGATGTTTAGATTAATTTTTTAACTTTTTATAAAAAAAATATGTATTAAAAAATTGTATAAATAAATGTATAGGGAAAGTTATAGATGGAATAGCCCGTATGGTTAGAAGTATAAGGGGCAGCGCGGCAGAGGGTATAGTGTAGGAGATTGATTCCCTCATTTTCAGGCATAAATTGGATGGTACTGTTCAGTCCATGGGGGCCCACTACGGGTCCCGTTTTACTAATCGGAACCGTTCAATGTGTTGAACTCGTCTAGTACTATGTGCTTATAAAAAATCACGTTGATTGGATATCAATAGCTATTTGATCGTGTTAGTTTTTCTTGTCAACTGTTAACTATAACACCATCTATTTTTTATACAAAACTGATTTGATCATGCAGTTACCGATTTCCGATCAATGTGATTTTTTATAAGCATATAGTTCTGGACAAATTTTACATATTGAACGGTTCGGATTATCAAAACGGGACCCTTGGTAAGCCTCCACGGGCCCAACATTTCCATCAAACTTAGTGATTTTACATATGTAATTCTTTTTTTTTCCTCTCTCACGGTAGTACAGGGTCATTTCAACTGTGTAAATTGTGTAAATTTTGTTTGATTAAAATATTATGTATTTTAATTTTTTAATATTTTAATTTGTAAATAATGATAACTTTTTTGCTTTT